GGCCTCCAGCGCAGGCGCAGACGCGGCTGGGACGCGCGGCCGGCGGCGGTTGGCGAGAGCAGAACTCGAGCCCGGGCAGCCAGAGCCGGCGCCATGGTGGAGAAGGAGGAGGCTGGCGGCGGCATCAGCGAGGAGGAGGCGGCGCAGTATGACCGGCAGATCCGTCTCTGGGGATTGGAGGCCCAGAAACGGTCAGGGCTGGTGCAGCTTGTGGGGCTGAGGGTCTGGAGGGGGCGTCTGGCCTGAGGCTTTCGCGGCCCTCAGGGAGCGGGAGGGTCTAATTTGAAGAGAGGAGGCGGGAATTCTGTACCCAGGGATGGTAGCGGGCCTGAGAGGACGGGAAGGGTTGATTTGGGATGTTTCTGGAAGGTATGGGAAGCGAGGACATCGCAGGGGATGAGAGGGCCCTTCTGAGTGATTGGAGGCCTCTGGGAGGGGGTGGGGGAGTCCTAAGGGGATAGGAGGATTGAAATTTAGGGACTCGGAAGCCTGCAAGGAGCGATGGTGGGGTGTAGGTCGGGGATGGAGGCTTAGGAAATAGGAGGGGCCGGAAACGCCTGGAAAAGATGAAAGGGGGGGCGTAGTTCATTCATTACTAGGTAGTGGGGACCTGTTCTGTGCTGGACACTGGGGACGCTCGCGAACCTAGCATGCACCTCACTTCTTGTGGCTTCTAAGGGGTGGGTCAATCTGAAAGAATGAGGGTTTTTGAGGAGTTTGGGGTCAAGTTGTTTTAATGGGAGTCTTGAGAGGCTCTGAGAGGCTGGGGGGCTGGAGGCACCTGAAGAGATTGCTTTTGTCTAGGTAGGGGGACGTGTCCAGAGGACAGGACACTGAGGTTGGGCATACCTGGGATATTGAGGAATAGTTACCAGAGGAGATGAGGTCTTTGAAAGAGCTGATTGATTTGATCAAATATTTATTGAGCACCTCCCACAATCACTGTTCTAGGCATAGAGCATATATCCCTGAGCTCAAACTCCTTGCACACGTGGAACTTAAATTCTACTATTGGCGACAAACATAAATAATCTAATGTTAGGTAATGCAGGTGCAAGGGAGGAAAATAAAGCAGGATAAGAGAATCGATGAAGGATGGTGAAGTGGAGAGCTGTTTTGATCGGGTGGCCAAGGAAGGCCTCTGAAGAGGTAACATTGTGCCTCAGACCTGTATAAAAGGAAAAACTCTCTGGAAGAACCTTCCTGCCACAGAGAACAGCAAGTGTAAAATCCTGGAGTACATGCTTGGCATGCATCCTGTTTAATTTTAAACAGGATGACTGGAACCAAATGAGTTGAGTAGCTTTTTAATTTTTTATTCTGAGTGTGCTGGGAAACCTGTTGAAGAGTTTTGAATAGGAGTAACATGATCTGATTTGTGTTTTAAAACGACCTCTCTTGCTGTGTGGAGAATAGGTTGAAGTGGGCAGAAGTGGAAATAAGGGCTCCAGTTAGGAGACTACTGCAATATTTACTACAATAAGCCACTTGAGGTATAAGTAATGGGGCTTGGAACTCTAGAGAAGGGGTCAAATATATATTCTGGATATATTTTGAGGGTAGAGGGGGCAGGATTTGCTGAAGGAGTCAATGTGTGGGTTATGAGAGGCAGAACTCAGGGATGACTGAGACAGCCTGAATACATAGGTGGGGTTGATTGATTTTAGGGACTGCTGTTTGAAGGATATGGAATTTTTGGGAGGTGAGAGTTATTCTGAGGGAGTAGAGATGTACTGGATTCTGTGAAGAACCTGAAAAGGATTGGCTGAAGGTCCTGGGAAGGAAGGAAGGAAGGGGTTATTTATAATTTGGAAAATAGTTGTAGATAATCTTACAGACTTTATTAACATGCTCTCCTGTCCTTTTTTTTTTTTTTAATATATCTTTATTGATTTCAGAGAGAGGAAGGGAGAGGGAGAGATAGAAACATCAATGATGAGTCATTGATCGGCTGCCTCCTGCACGCCCCCGACAGGACCAAGCCGGAAACCCGGGCATATACCCTGTCTGGGAATCAAACCACGGTCTCCTGGATTGTAGGTCGATGCTTAACTGCTGAGCCACGCTCAGCCCCGCGGTGTGTCCATTTTTCAACTGAGTGTCACAGCGAGGGCAGTGATTTCCTCCCTTGTATAGAGAGGAAAGATGCTCCACAAAGAGATTGTCTTGCCTCTAAGGGAACTCCAGGTGGGATAGGAAAACTCTGGGGACAGGGACTCTTTTGTGAAATGGAAGGAGGCCTGGGAGCTGGCAGACTGCATTCTGGCTCCGTTTTTGCCACTGACTGATGTTGGACCAAGCTTGTAGAGAACTGGAAGGGAGAGTAATAATATCAAAAAGGGCCTTCCCAGGGAACTTACACAGTCTACAGGTTAAAAACTGGGCAGTGTTTCTCACATATGGATTACATTTTAAAAAATTAGTTGCCAGCATGTAAAAATCTAGAATTGGCCAAATTTGGGTAAATTTGAGCATCAGAAAGAATAAATCGATGCATTAAAAAATATTTAATAACTTACAACCCATAAGACCAAAAGAGAAATAAAAAACTTATTTGAAGGTGATTATTAATAGTGTACCTTCCGATGTGGAAACATAAGAGCAGTGCATCATCTTTGAAGTTTTTCTGCTCAGTATCTTTTACTCTAATCGTGCTTTTAGAGAACAGAGGAACAAATTAAAGGACACCATTGACTTAAATGATGTCTAGAGGTGGAATATTTTACAAGACAATTTCACTGATTCTATTCCAGAAGTCAATGTCATGGGGAAAACAAGTGAAGGGACTGTCGTAGATTAAGAGTAAAAAGGTGGAGCCAAATGTAAGGTGTCAACCTGTACTGGATCCTGGTTCAAAAAGAAAACTTCGAGCCCTGCTGGGCGTGGCTCAGTGGTTGAGCGTTGACCTAGGATCCAGGCGACCGGGGTTCGATTCCCGGTCAGGGCACATGCCCGGGTGCTGGCTTGATCCCCAGTCGGGGGCGTGCAGGAGGCAGCTGATCAATGACTCTCTCATCACTGATGTTTCTATCTCTCTCTTTCTCTCCCTCTCCCTTCCTCTCTCTGAAATCAATAAAGATATATTAAAAAAAAAGAAAAGAAAACTTCGAGAATAAAACATTTTTCAGAAAACGGGAAATTAGAATATTCAGTCCTATTAGATGCTATTTGGGAATTGTTTTCTAGATGTGATAATATTATGTTTAAGAAGGAGAATGTCCTTTTTCAGAGATGCATTTTAAAGGCGTGAATTGTCATGGTGCACCTAACAGGTAAAAGCCAATGAGGCAAAATGTCACTATTCTTTCTACTTTTCTGTATGTTTGAAATTTTTCAGTAATGAGAAATTGGAGGGGAAATGTGGCTCTCCAATCTGGAGATTTCATAGAGTTTCACATAGAGTTTCTGATTTCTGTCTTTTGAAAAATAGAAAAGTCAGATACCCTGCCCCCATCGGTTAGAGCTAAGTACAGGCCGCCTCTTTTACACAGAGCATGGATTCTCTACTCTGCCATCCTGTTCAACATTGAGCTTCACTTGCTGATACAGTTGCCTGGCCTCTGTAAGCACATGAGTTTACATCTCCTGTTGTGGTGCATAGCCCATTTTATGAGTGAGGTTCAAAGAAGGGAGCCAACTCTCCCGACGTCACACACCAAGTAAATAGAAGTAGGATTGGAATCATAGTCCCTAACTTCAGATTCACTGCTATTTCCATGACAGTTCATTTTCCACCACAAGGGCTCATTCTTTCAATCAAATTAACATAAAGGTGAGTGGAGAAGCTGGCAGCTGTGTATATTCTCACAATGTGTGCGTCAGCACTTTTTGCTCTGCCTTTCATAGCAAAGGCATGTCTAATTCTCCCACTCAACAGTAATTTATCCCCATATCTAAGAGAGAGGAAGGGAGGGTGACTGGAAAGAGGGAAATAGATTATAAACTTCATTAGGTCAAGCAGTTTATAAATGTCCAGTAATTATGATGTGGGTTTTTAATTTCCAGTGCTTGCAAGTATGCAGACATTTAGATATTTGTTGAGTGAATGAAATGATTGTACATTGCAAAGACCTAGGAAGTCAAAAGACCTAGTTTCAATTCCCATCTCTGCTAAATAACTCTTTGCCCTTGGGTGAGTCACATAGTTTCTTGGCCTTAGGTTCCACATCTGAAAAGGAGGGGTGAGTGTGACTGGATCTTTAAGGACTCTTTCAACTCTGAAATTTTGATTTAATGGAAAAGGGACTATAAAACCTTTCCTATTTTCAAACACTGCTGGCTGTTCAGAAGAAGTTCAGTTGGTTCCATAGGCACATATTTGCCATTGAAGTGACTGAGCATGTACTGTGTACTGGTTGTTTCCTATAAAAACAAATTTATTCTAGTTGTTGATAGCGTTGAGTAATTGAGTTTGAATCTCAGCTTGAGAACATCTTAGTTATTTAACCTTGGATACATTTCTTAACTTCTCTGTGCTTCAGTTTTTTCATTTATCAAGTGGAGATAATATAATCTACTTTATAAGATTATGGAGAACTAAATGAGATAATGCATGAATAGTGTTAGCCATAGAAAGCATTCAGTAAATTACAGCTACAATTATTTGACAAGTATAAATCACCAGCAACAAAAGAAGGGAAACTACATAGGAAATAAATAGCTTGAGATAAATAAGGCAAATGTAAAGCTGTAATCAGTGTGTTAAGTGGGGACTTCAGAAGGATGAGGAAGACTGTAGGAAGAGCAGACTTGCCTAAGAAGACCACAGTAGGGAGCAGTCTTGTTATATTTTGGATTCTGACAAGACATTTAGTACATATAATGAATGGGCAATTGGATGGAGCAGGATTGTAGATTTAAATGAAAAGTACTATACTGTTAAGCGAAGAAGAGACTATTTTTAGGAGAAAGTGGTCAAATCTGCCAAATATCAATGGCCTCACTATTTCCTGTTGCACAGACCAGAAACCTAGTTCTTTGTTCTTCGCTGTCCCTTATGCCCACATCCATTCTATTGGGAAGTCCTGTTGGCTCTGCTTCAAACTTTATCTCGCCTACCTTCATTTTTTAGTCCAAGCCACACCCATCATCTCAGATCACTTCAACATTTTCTTCACTGGTTTCCCCTGTTCCACTCTTGACTCTATAATGTAACTCTCCACACAACTGCCAAACAAACTAAAATTAGGGGTCCTACTTAAAGCCTTCCAGTGATTTTTCTGGTACTCTCAGAATAAAATCCAAAGCTTTTAAAATCCATTGCCTGCCCAGGCGGCGTGGCTCAGCGGATGAGCATTGACCTAGGATCCAGGAGATTGCGGTTCAATTCATAGTCAGGGCACATGCCCGGGTTGCGGGCTCGATCCCTAGCAGGGGGCGTGCAGGAGGGCAGCTGATCAATGACTCTCATCATTGCTGTTTCAACTCTCTCCCTCTCCCTTCCTCTCTCTGAAATCAATAAAGACATATTTACAAAATAATAATAAAAATAAACTCCATTACCTTTCATGCTTCTGCTTGTCTCTCCTTGCCTACTCAAATCTTTCTGTTCCTCAGCTATGCCAAAGTCTTTGTGGTGGAGGGACTTCACGCTTACCCCGTTTGAAATAGTCTCACAGCAGGCCTTTGCCTGGCTCACTCCCACATACTAGACTCAGTAAAGGCGGTTTGAATGTGAAATTGGTAGTCTTAGGAGCTCTAATCATGAGTGGGATTCATTGACTTAATTTGAAGTGTGTATTGTGAATTCAAAGATTATATATAAAAGCTCTGGTTCCTTCCTTCCAGAAATTTAAAATATATTCATGTGGGAGCATGATCCAAACATTTCCTCGATACACCCTCTTTCATGCTGCCATGTTTTTGCTTGTGTTATAACCTAATAGTACCCCTTTCCACCTCTTCTGTTATCATACAAGTCCAAGCCTTCACCCCCTCACCTTAACTGTGACACTCTTCCCCTCCAGGCCCCTCTCCCCTCATGAGGCTTAGAATAAAATCCAGAAACCCTACAATGCCTGTGAGAGTCTGCATGATATAGCTCCTAGTTCTGTCTAGAGCCTCATTTCCTACCATTCTCCCTTTTGCTCACTGCTATTCTTGCTCTCCCTGAAACATGCCAAGTGCTCCTGCCTCAGGGCTTTTGCACTTGCTGTTTTCTCTACCTGGAATGCTCTTCTCCCAAATGTCTATATATTCATCTTTTACTTCCTTTTGACTTGTGCTCAGCACCTCCTCAGAAAGGCCTTTTTGATGAGTTTGACTAAAATAGCATCCTCCGTCAGTCTTGATCCATATCATGCTTGATTTTCATCACTTTTGGATGTAATATACGGGGTGGGGCAAAAGTAGGTTTACAGTGTGAGTACATGAAACATATTTTATTCTCTTATTATCTAATTTCCCATATGAACAACTCTAAACCTACTTTTGCCCCACCATGTATACTCTTACTTATCTGCTTTCTTCAAAAAGTGTAAGTTACAGAAGGACAGGGATTATGTTTGATGTATTTCCACACCTTAGAGAGGTACCTGGCATAGGTGCTCAACACATATTTGGTGAATGAGTTGTGTTCTGCAGGATGGATTGGAGCATATCTTTCCTGGTTTTGAGGCTGTGCTGCTTCAGTGCAGTTAATGAAAACTAAAATGATTGCCCTATTCTTCAGTTATTCGATGAGTTTCCACTGCTCTTCGTCATTGGGTTAACAATGTCTGCCTTACAGGCTGCGGGCCTCCCGGGTGCTTCTTGTCGGCATGAAAGGGCTCGGGGCTGAAATTGCCAAGAATCTCATCCTGGCAGGAGTGAAAGGACTGACCATGTTGGATCACGAACAGGTGAGATGTGCAGCCACCTCATCTGTCTCCAAAGCAGTCTCTCCCCTTAGGTATAAACAGTTGGAGGTTTGGGGAGTTCCTCCTTGCCCTTCAGGGCTGTGGAAGGAGTGCTGGCATTAATGGAACTATAGCCTTTGGAGACTGATAGTGCTAGCACTGTATTTGATTTCAGTACCATCAGTGGGTGGACAGTCAGTGGAGACTTGTATCTCCTTGCTGAGCTTGCTTATCTGTAAATGGAGTTAACTTCTTTCTTGGAGGGTGACCCTGAGGGGTAGAGGAGTACCTTTCCAATTTGTGCCTATAATCACCTGAATAACTGAAAATGCAGAATTGCCTTGGGGCTTTGTCATGATATAGCCTCCACCCTCCAGTGATTCTACTTTAGAAAAAAGTCAGATGAGGCTCAGGAATAGATACATTTTATTATTTTATTATTTTTATTTTTATTTTTTTTTTAATATCTTTATTGATTTCAGAGAGAAGAAAGGAGAGGGGGAGAGAGATAGAAACATCAATGATGAGAGAGTCATTGATCAGCTGCAGGCCGCAACCCGGGCATGTGCCCTGACCGGCAATCAAACCCTGATTGCCTGGATCCTAGGTCGATGTTCAACCACTGAGCCACACCCGGCCGGGCTATTTTTATTTTTTAAATATACCTTTATTGATTTCAGAGAGAGGAAAGGAGAGGGAGGGATAGAAATATCAATGATGAGAGAGAGTCATTGATTGACTGCCTCCTGCATGCCCCCTGCTGGGCATTAAGCCACAACCCAGGCCTGTGCCCTGAATGCCAGGGAATCAAACCTGTCTTCTGGATCATAGATGGATGCTCAACAGCTGAGCTATGCCCTGAGCTATGCCTGCTGGGCTAGGAATAGATACATTTTAAAAAATAAAGTTATCCTTGGAGATCTTGAGGTAGGTGGTTCACAGACATTACTTTGGAAAACATTGGATCAGAGAGGACATATGTGAACTGCTTAGCATACTGTCTGTACATAATAAGCAAAGCATCCAATACAGTAGTTATATGACAAAATGATTTAATTGACGATATAATAGTAGCACCCAACTCCAGTGTAGCTTTCCTCTGACCTGTCTTTTCTCCAAGGTGGAAATAACTGCTTCTTTCTCTATATTCTCATGCCTCAATGAAATTTTAGTTTTTTTTTAATAGAAATGTTCAAATATGTATAAAAGTAGAGAGAAGTCATCTCCCTGGCTTCTACAGATACCAGTATTTTGTTGACTTTTAAAAAATTTTGTCTTTTACCCTCTCTTTTTTGGACAGTATTTCAAAGCAAATTCCAGGAATCATGTCTTTTTAGGTAAAATACTTCAAAGATTGTGTTGTCACATCCTATAATTTGTGTCATTTTTTCCTTTTAGGCAATGAACAGGGGTCCTGTCTCACACTATGTAACTAGCACACAGTATGAGGTATAGGCTCTATGGACAGAAGTAAATGTTAATGAAATTTTTATTTAAAAAATTTTTTTCAAATACTTTTTTTTTTAACCTTCACCCAAGGATATGATTTTCTTGATTTTAGAGAGAGAAGCATTGATATGAGAAGGAAACACTGATTGGTTGCCTCCTGTACACACCCCGATGGGGGATCAAACCTGCAACCTGGGGATGATATGCCCTGACCGGAAATCAGACCTGCAACCTTTTGGTACATGGGATGATGTTCCAACCATTGTGACACCTGGCCAGGGCTGTAGTTGTTACTTTTTAAAAAATTTTACTGCAATATGAAAAGAAAAGTGGTTGGCTCATTTACTATCACAATCAAATATTGATTTTTTTTACTTGAATTCAAAACCTACGGAAGGAAAATTCCTGCAAGCAAGCTGCCAGGTTATTTGACAGTCTTAAGTACCTGCTGCTTTGACATCGCCCCAACCACAGTGCCCCCTAGAGGCAGGAACACCCCACCTAGAGGAAGAATTTGTAATGTAGAAAGGGTAAGAGTATGAGACTCATGGAAGGATGTTCCTAAACTTGGAGGCCCTTGGTGTGGAAAAATGAAACCACAGATAGTAGTAATTAGCACGGATGGAATAATTAGTGCAATATTTTTATTAACATCTGTAATTTACATGTGATTCCCTCATACTCACTCAAGGTCACATAGTAAGTGGTTGAGTCACATTTGAATCAAAGATTTGAAAACTGCCTGAATTACTTCAGAGCCTTGCCTTTAACCACTGTGGTATAGTTTCTCAGAATATAATGAGATCCCTGAAGAAGCAGGATGGGATGGGTCAATGATCCTGTTAGAGGGTTGGCCTTGAATGGGAGAAGGACCAGCTCATTTTCTTGGAGGAAAGGTAGTAAGGTAGTGCTGTAAGTACTTGGCAGGAGGGGAGATTACTGCTGGTGAACCCAGTCTTGATGAAGGCAGCAAGGTTACACCTAGAGATGAATGGTTAAATTAGATTTTTGGTGTGGGGAGAAATGCTTTGTGAACAATTTGGAGTCTCTTGTCCTGCTGGGGACTGTCAGGTGATTATGTTACCTGTCTTCGAGGCTCTCTGCAGTATATCCAGCCTTATGGGTGAAATAATCTCTGTGCACCAGCCCCCACTCATCTTTCCTTCTCTCCGAGTTTTATTTGAATTTAAGATTTCATGTCAAGCATTCTTAATTGTGTCTGATTTTTGCCTGGTCTGATTTTTAACCCACTGTAGGCAGGGACTTCATCCTTTAAACTACTTACGTTTCTTGCTGAATGCTCAGAGTTGGGCCCATGGTAGGTATTTGGTAAATTGTTATCACCAATAATTATATCATTTTGTTGGTTACAAACTTAAGTAGAAGAAAGCATGGACTTTTCTTTAGAGTGAATTTTCTTTATAAACACAAGGGGGCGCTCTTTAACCATCAATGTTCAGTAAAAGAAATGTCTCTATTTCAAAGCCTTAGAAGGAAAGAGTGAGTGTAGGGAGTCTGCATTAGGCAGATTCCTGCAGGAACAATTATGCAATTAGATGGTAGGTGTTTTAGTTATCTTGTAAAATGGAAAGTTTCATTGTCTTTGACATATGTTTTCTTCCTAAATTCAAGTATTTAAAAAAAAATTCTTCCTAGGTATCTCCAGAAGACCCTGGAGCTCAGTTCCTCATCCGCACTGGGTCTGTTGGCCGAAACAGGGCTGAAGCCTCTTTGGAGCGAGCCCAGAATCTCAACCCCATGGTGGATGTGAAGGTGGACACTGAGAATATAGAAAAGAAACCCGAGTCGTTTTTCACTCAGTTCGATGCTGTAAGTTTCATAGAGAGTGTATGATCTGGGGGAATTAGCAAATTAAAGCACTGATTGTGTTCTAGGTACACTAGAACATTAGAATCTCAAATTCTGAGCTTTTTCCCAAGTAAGTTTATAATCTGTACTGTTCTTCAGGTTTAATATACTGTCTTTGTAGATTCAATGTGTTGGTAGGTGGATCCAGTATGTTGGGTTTGCTGTAGCTGTGAGTTGCTGTCTGTTGGTTTCTTCTTTGGGCATATGTTCCCCTAAACCAGGTTTCGTCCTTGGTTTTGTCTTCCTTCCAGAATTTTTGCACATAGCTTTGATACATTTTATTGCAAATGTTTTCTCCTAAACATTTAAGTTGGTGATTAATTTCTGTAGCAGAGTCATTTTTTTTGTTGTTAGAAATATCAAACTACAGCTTGTTTTTTGTCTTTAAAAAGAGTACACCTGATCTTGGTCTGTCTCTTTCACACAGCCACTTTGACCATGTTGCCATGGATAGCTAGACAGAATTGCTATAGTCGTAAGCCAAATGAGGCATATCCAACCTCACTTGGTTTCACTGCCAATTCTATGCAGAGGTGAAAGGACAAGTTAAATTCTGTTTCAGATCCTGTGACCTTTCAGATATGGTTCCTTGTACCCTGCAAGAAGCTTGGGTAGCTCTGAAATAGTCACAGATGATCTACTTGTTTTTTAAATGAAAGGCCCATTATGTGAGAGATTAGAATTTGGGTTGGGTAGTTTGTTTTTCACACTGCTATATTTCATATGCGCATCTGTTCAAATAGGGGCTTGGAATGATGGATCGTCTGTGCATTTTGTCTTTTTTTTCTTTTTTTAATGCATTCTGTTTCGTAACTCCAGATACTGGGACATTTTCCATGTGGATGAAAGTCTTCTCTTCATTCCTTTATCCATAGTAACATTTAGTTTATTCTAGGTGGCTCTCGACCTTCTAGCAATTAGAGCGATGCTTTGTTAGAACTGAAGTGTGGGCCACTTACTTGTATAACGCATGTGCACAGGACAAGCGTGACTGTCCCACAGGCCATGTTTGACTGGTTCTGAGTTGGTTTTAGTCACTTGTGACTCTGCAGGCTTCCATTTGGTCAGTTGATTGCACGTTCAGCTGTGATTGTCTCACCTTTTAGATTTGACTTTCCTTTGCGAGGCCATGTCCTCTGAGTGACACCAGAGGCACATATTTTTCTGTGAGTGCTATTTCAGTATTCAGCCTGCCAGACAAGAGCAAAGAGTTTCTATCAAATGAAAATATCCTCTTGTAATTTCTTCTCCAACTTTCTATGTTCAGATGAAAAATGTACACGTTAGAAATTATCTTCTTGGCCCTAATCACAAAGCTTTTCCCGAAAAGACGGTCGGTGTTTTATGCAGTAAAATTTCGCCATTTCCAATATCTTAACTTATTGGAACAGAACCTAGAGGCCTCAGAGCAGCATTGATAATTACTGAGTGAATCATCGGTTCATTGTCTAAGTCTGAATGGAAGGTCACTTGGTCTGTAACCTTTTCTTTTGTCCTTAAATTCAGATAAAGTTTCACCTGGAGAACTGGAAAAATAATCTTAACAGGACTTGTTTATCTTTTTTATCTTAACACATCAATCAAAAGAAGAGGTAAAATTGCCCTTGTATTTAAACATGACCTAGGGGTCAATTTTAAAAACTGGTTTTGCTCCTCTCTGTAGCTTATTTGGATTTTAATATATTCAATCATTTAGAAGTAACTTACACTAAGTTATTAGTGTGTGTCTCTCTCTTTTTTTTTTTCCATGAAAACCAGGAAGTGGGGTTTATATATGCTCATGGATGAGGGGAAACAAATTCATTGAGTGGCTTTTACTTTCTAGCTAAATGGATTTCATTTGGGTTTCAGAAAGTTACCCTTTTGTGATTTACATTTTCTACACACTGAAACCTGCAACTTTTCTTTTGTCTTCTAACCATAGGATCCAAAGAACCTGTTGTGCCAGTTTGAAACTGGCTTTCGACATGCCCAGCAAGGCTGTTCATTAAGATTTATTTAGACATCAGGGCAGTGGTTCACAGTTTGTAGAACTCACATGCAGTCAATTTCTTTCTTTCTGCAGGTATGTCTGACTTGCTGCTCCAGGGATGTCATAGTTAAAGTTGACCAGATCTGTCACAAAAATAGCATCAAGTTCTTTACAGGAGATGTTTTTGGCTACCACGGATACACATTTGCCAATCTTGGAGAGCATGAATTTGTAGAGTAAGTGTTGGGAGAGGAGGAGAGAGAACATTTTCCGAAATGTAATTTTATTCACTGATAGATCAGAAATGAACCACTTAAGGGAAGTCTTTTTACTGTAATACTTAGACCATTGGGAAACCAATTCATTAACAGCTTATGATACATAGATTGCGTGTTCAGAGTTGTAGGAGATGGGATCCCTGCCTTCCACTATGATGTTCTAATTTAAAGCCTAAAGAAAGCAGTGTTCTAGGCAATCGAAGTACATCACCTACGGACTTGATCAGTCTGGATTTCAGCAGGGGAAGCACTCTTTCTGTTTAGGGAAGGCTTGCTCCGGTTGTAAACATTTGTTGTCCAAGTTAGGCTTGCGTGTTTTCAGGTTGAGAGATAGTAAAATGAGTACGAAATAGTTAGATGGGCAACTCTGGAGGCACAGTTGGCCAAAGTCTAGCTTGGAAATAAAAAGCTCCACAGTCCAAAGACAGTTCTGGTGCAGCCAGCAGCCCTTCTTCTCATTTGAACATTGCGGTTGCAGACCATGGTGATTCTCACATGATGGGACCTGCAGTGTTTTGAACTTGTAGCTTCTAGATGAAAGATGATACCAATATTGTAAAACTACATGAGTTGGCTTTTTCAGACCACTGCCCTCCCCCCCCCATGAGACCCTGTTGGGTGGCAGGTGAAGCTTCCTACCAAGAGTCAAGAACTGTTCTCTCTAGTTCACCTTCTCAGGCAAGTCACTGAAATTTCTGGTCTGCAGGTTTCTTGCCTGTAAAACTGACCACGGGGGAAGGACAAACATGTTCAAGATCTCTCATAACTCCAACGTTTTATGGCCTTAGAGAATCTAGTCCTTTGTACACATTATAAATGGATAAAGAAGTCATAGAGGAACATCCAGATTATTTTAATGTGAGCTCCCCATGACAGAGGGGAGGAATTCAATTAGACTAATTCATGATTCAAGTGGCACGTTCACAAATTTTATTGAGAGCTTACTAGGCAGTGTGCTAAGCAATGTATGTTATTTCTCTTACAAGAATCTTCTGTTAGCAGTTGTTATTCCCAAATAGTGGGTGACTGCCTTGTCAGATAATCGGTGACCACACTGGAATTTGAACCCAGTTCTAATGGCATGATTCCTAGGGTAGACCTGGATTCCCTCCCTTGTCACCCTCTAGGGAGAAAACCAAAGTTGCCAAAGTTAGCCAAGGAGTAGAAGATGGACCTGATACCAAGAGAGCAAGACTGGACTCGTCTGAAACAACTATGGTCAAAAAGGTATGTATACTGGGGAGGAGGAGGGGTCAGGAACCTGGGCCTTATGGGGACAGGCAATTATAATGGTGTACAAGGGAAGCCAGTATGGTGGGCTTGAAGGGAGGGTCTGGACAGACTGGGCCAGTGCTTGTTCTACTTAAAGGGGGCCAGCTGCTGCTTAGTGCCAGCCAGCTGAGCTCTGAGGGAATGTGTGGACCTAGGATAACAGATGTGATTTAAGACAATCAGAAATGTAGATTTAAAAAAAAATTTTTTTTTGTATGCCCTGTCCCAGACTTTTTAATACTGGTAACTTACTCACCCGAATGCTGTTCTCATCAACAACAGAGTCTAAAGAGAACATGTTTGCAAGACAGACTTAGTCTGTGGGCCATTGATCTCACCCCTGGTGTATGGAATGTATCAGAAAGACTTTTTGAGCAAAGGCCATTGCTTAATTTTTTTTAATTGACTTTAGAGAGAGAGAAACATGAATTTATTGTTCCACTTTTTTATGCATTCATTGGTGGATTCTTGTATGTGCCCTGAGGATCAAACCCGCAACCTTGGCATATCTGGACAACTCTGTAACCAACTGAGCTACCAGGGGCAAAGGGCATTGTTTTTGTGTTTTTTTGTTTTGTTTTGTTTTTTTCAATATATCTTTATTGATTTCAGAGAGAGGAAGGGAGAGGGGGAGAGAGAGAGTTGAAACATCAATGATGAGAGAGTTATCACTGATTGGTTGCCTCCTGCACGCCCCTGACTGGGGATCGAGGCCGCAACCCTGGCATGTGCCCTGACCCAGAATCGAACCACGATCTTCTGGATCCCAGGTTGATGCTCAACCGCTGAGCCACGTCCGGCTGGGCCATTACTTTTGTTTTTAAAAAAATGAGATTAATAGACAATTTAGTAAGGTCCTAAATGGGTGGGAGACAGTTTAAACTTGAATTGTTTTTGTTTTGTTTCTTTAAAGTTTTGTTTTGTTTTCACCAAGTCTTTCAAGAACAAAGGCCTCAAGGTTGACAAATGTTATCAGGTATATATTTTTTAATGTATACTTAAGATTCTTCTTGGAATTAGTGCAGTAATTTAAATTCATTTTCTAGAAAGAGGAGTGGGAAGGGAATCAGAGACGATGGTTTCTGGTTGATGGTGAATCTGAGAAGGAATCTGACAATGGGGAAAACAAGGTGAAGTGGTCAGAGTTGGTTTTGTGGAACTGAGAGGAAAGATATGACCAAGCCCATATTTACCCTTTTCTTTGTAGATTTAAATGTTGAGAGAGAAAAACAGCTGGTCAGAGCATCGAGTTAAAATTGCTCTAAAGGGGGGATTCTAAGAGCGTAGAAACCACAAAAGAGACTGCAGAAACCACAGAAGTGGAACTCTGCAAGTTTCCAGCAAGGCTGCGCTGGAGATTTTCTCTTTCTTGCTCTTTATGTTTGTACTGGAAGAGTTTGATGCTGTGAGTGTGATACAGAGGAATTATTAAGCCCTAATTTTAGTGTCTCTTCAGAGGACCATAATTATCCAGAGTGAACATTGGTGTTTTGGCCAAAACTTGGGTCCTTTCTTTTTTTTTCTTTCCTTTTGAGGCCCAGTCAAGCCTTATCTGAATAGCTGCGAGAGTTTGGTGGGGGGAGATAAATTGTTAACTAACGAAGGAGTACAAAAGCAGCTTTGTGGATGCTGTCAATTTATAAATCACACCCTCTTACAAGTGTGACACTTGGCCTTGGTGTGAAGGGTTTTATGGCTTAAGGGCTTCTTGGATTGAGGCGGGTCTTTCACATTCAAATAGAGAGTGCCTAGCTTTGTTAGCCCTTCACAGCTGGAAGTTTCCCGGGAGTCATTTCTGATAGTGCCCACTGGGGCGGATCTGGAAACCTCTTTTGGGAGCCACTTTATCTAGCTATGAGGAGAATGTGGGCAGCCCGGGCAGGCACTCGGGCAGGCACTCGGCGGCCTTTGCGTACCATTCCTAGGGCCCTTCAGTCTCAGAGCTCTTTGTGCAGCCCCTTCCTACATGGGGCCGAAGTTGAAGGTATCAAAATATGCCCCAGCTGACATTGTTAGTCAGCTGTTTCTCTTGTACAATTCAGGCTTGGATTCCAACCCCGAGCCCTTAAGGTTGAGAGGCATTCAGTGCATTCCTGATGACAATCCCCGGGATTCCAGACCTTGCCTTTGTGCGGCCTCACCAGGAGCACTGTGGAAGGACCCTGCCACCTTGTAATAACAAATTTTCTCCAGTTTGGCAAAGACTTTCATGTTGTGGAAGTTTTCTCCCAACTCAGAAATTCCTTGATTCCGATTTTGCCCTTTTGCCTAAATTGTACGGAATAACTAGTCGGGTTATGCTCCGAGTGCAGGATGGGGGTGGGGAAGCAGCCACTTCCTGTTTCCTGTGAAAGGTTTCTGGTTAGGGTCCAAATGTTGTAAAGCCACTTTTGCTTCAAGGTACGCATTGTGCTCCTAAATTAGAAACGTTCAAAAACAAAGAGGGAAAACAGAGGTTGTGGTTTTCACACCGTCTAGGAAGACACTGGGCCTTTCTAGCACATGCGCCATCATGATAAATACAGCAGTAGGGAGGTGCATAGCCCAGAGGTAGGTGCTCAGTAGTTTGCTTCCTTTGGTGCCCAGGAAAAGTCATGCAACAGATTTCATCAGAAGCTGGTCTTGGGCACAAACCTGATGTAGACACTAATGCAGACACTAATTGCACAGTGGATAAAGGAGAAAGTAATGGCTTTGGTGAGGAAGTGTTCAGAAAAGTTTCCCAGAAAAGGGTAGAGTTGGCATGTGAAGGACAGTTTGCCAGACACTGAAACCAGGACCGGTCCTAGGAAGCAGGATCAACAAAGCACAGATGTAGGGCAGAGGCTCTGGCTTTCCTCACTCTGAAATAGCCAGCTCCTTCTGTATCTTTGAGTTGCAGGATGCCTACTGTGCAAGGCAGTGTGTGTTGGGTGCAGGGAATCAATCCAGTCCTGTTGTCCCTGTTTACAGCTGATGCTGAAGCTAAGAGAAGTTAAGTGACTGACCTGCCAAGGTCACTGAACTCTGTAAGCAGCAGCAGGTGGGAGGGCATAGACAGAGGCTCAGGGTACTGGCTCACCCTATGACTTACAAGGTGATTCCCCTGGGAGCTTCTAGGGTAATTTGGAGTTTATGAGGCTGGTGAGATACAGTATGTGAACATGAGGATCATTCCGGAAGAACCTTTGGGAGAAAAGGCCATTATCACGCTCCTGTTTGCTGCTCATGTTTCTTTATTGTTAGGGACTGCCAGACATGAGTAGATGCCTGCTGGTGGTTACTCGCCCTATTAGCACTTTAAAATCTAACATAAAGTAGGATTTGTTCATGACGTGCTAAGAAATACAGATTTAATTTTACCTCTGCTTCTGAAAATAGTAGGTGACTAATTTGGGCACTGTTAATACTCCTCCTGAATTAGTTGTGAAATTCCACAGTGGAGTAGTGATTCATTATTTCGATTCCCTTTTCCTGAGCAGTTTGTTGACAGCTCAGTCATCCTCCTCTCACCGCCATCCTTAAAGAAACACTCCTGATGACTGACTAGTTTTGTTCCTCCTCTTTTATGTGGCATCTTGATTTGTAAAGCTGGTTGCTCTTCAAATCACTTTTCGGTGTCTCTTCCATTAGAGTTTAAGCTCCATACAGGCAGTTATGTCCACTGCTGTATTCCTGGGCAGTGCCTGGCACAGTCACATTCAGGAAATGTTTGTGTAGTGTAGTTGTGGCTGTTCCTGCAGTGTAATATGATAGCTTTAGAGCAGATTATTCTCATTTTAAAAAAGAATTAACTTTTTTTGTGATCAACTAAATGGATTAACCTTGTATATTAGTTCTTATAGTTTAGGTATTTGAGCTAAGCTGAGAACAGAATTCCAAACAGGACAGGGAACAGAAATATTTAGTAGTAAGTCATTGAGTTGCCTAGATCAGAGCTTTCAGGCCCAAATGCTGCTAATTGTCAGAATCACTTGGTTTGGGGGAGGAGTGGCAGGGAAATGTAAGATGTAAACTGCAGAGAGTTTGGTGCAATGCAGATAGCAGGTTTTCTAGGTCTGATGGTTGTAGAGTGTGGGGTGGGTGCTGGCTGTGCCCTGACTCACAAGGGAAAAGTTTCTGGGCTCTGGGGATGAGGGAAGGGGTTCTTCCCAGCGTTACAGCACAATCCAGTGTGTGTGTGATATTTGATACACAAAAATCATGCCACATCAATGCAAGTTTTGGGACATAACAGTAAAACACTATTCAACTTAAAAACCAAGACATTTCTTTTCCCCTGGGCTGCTGGTACATTTGTGTGGACTTAGTAAGGTACCTGAAAGGGGGGAATATAGCCCTACTTGGCATGGTGTTTTATCATGTGTTTATAAATATAACCAATGGAATAAAACTTATTATGTGATGTTGTAGGTATAAATTAAGAAGGATATAGCTAGCCTTGTACCCACCACCCAACTTAGAGCAATAAAGCTCATCCCTGGCTGTCCCTCCCCAACGTAAGTAACCACTATCCTCAATTGTGGTTCTCCCATGCATTTCTTCTAACTACATATGTATGTATTTCCCAGCAATATAGAATTGTTTGGTATACTTTTTAACTTCTTAAAAATTGGTTTCATATTCTGTGAGTGCCACCCCATGCTTTTAAAGAGCAGTGTTATATCTCTGTAGTTCCCAGGCTTTGCTGTCCATGTTGGTAGCCACTAGCCACATGTGACTATTGAAATTAGTTAAATAAAATAAAAAATTTGCTTCTGCAGCCTCTCTAACCACATTTCACATGCTCGGTAACTACCTGTGGCTGCTGGCATTTGTATCGCAATAATAGAGGACGTTTCATCCTTCACCTTCGCAGCAAGTTTTCTGCAGGACAGTGTTTTTTTTTTGGCTGTAGAGTATTTGTTGTGTGAATACATCACTATTTATTCTGCTGTTGATGGACATTTAGGTATGTAAGTTTTTGCTGTTACAAATTGGGCGGCTGTAATCAGTGTTTTGTGTGTGTAGCTAATCTCCTTGGGCAGCTGTGTGATTTCTCCAGGATAGATTCTTAGGATGAAAATTGGGATGTGTGCATCTTCAGCTTCACCAGACCCTGCCTGCTAAATTACTCCCTAGTAGTTTTGTCCATTTACGTTCCAAAGTCAGCAGTACATGACAGGAACATGTGCTAACTGTGAAAACTGTCTCAGGTTGTGGTTATCATTTGTTAGAGTGCTTTTGAAAACTACAGTCTCCCAAGAGTAGGTGTGAAATTAGACCTAGAAATCTGTCATTTTGAAAATTGTTTCGATTCTGGTTTACATTCAACTTTATATCTGGAACTATATCACTTCTTATAGATATTCGGCTTGATTTAAAAAGTAAAATTTACTCACAATCCCAGGTTTGGAAAACACAGAACAAGTTGAGCAAATGTGAATCCTGCTCCCCAGTAATAACTATAACGTTCCTTTCAGTATTCTTTCTATGCAAATATACATCATAAAGTTGGAGTACTAATTAACGTATATGAATACATACAAGGCATATAATGACCTGATATACATATCACATGTATTGTGTTTTGCTTTTTTTATTCATTGTGTTTTCAGAAGCATTCCCCAGACTTACATCTTCTGTGGAGAGTGTGGTTTACATTGCCTTGCTGTAACTTAATCAAACCAGTCTTCTGTGGCATTGGCAAGGTCACTGCAGTTTCCCACACTTCTAAATGGCCCAGCAGAACCCCATAACTTGATGGCTGATAGACCATGTGGATAATTCATCTTTTATATTTACTGTTGGGATTTTTGGCAAACGAGAAGCAGCTCACGGCATTTATAGAAAATCTAGTCTTATTCAGTGCTGTGCCTTTCACTGTGGTCCCTGCCTCAGGAAGCTTTAAAAGGTGTAAGCGGGCTTGATACTAGTCTTAACTGGACTATGAGATTGAAATTCTTAAGGCTCAACCATCACTCCCAGGTATTTCAGGCAGTATTTTCTCAAACAATGCATCCTTCATAACCACAAACCAGCCATCAAAATCCAGAAACTCACCCAGTTACATCATTGCTGTCTAATCCTCAGACCCCATTCAAGTGTTGCCAGTTGCTCCAATCATGTCCCTTTGGCAAAAGGGTCTGGTTCAGGATCATGCATGCATCTAGATTTTCATGACACTTTTGAAGATTACAAGCCAGCCATTCTGTAAAATGCCCCTTAATTTGGGTTCATCTGATGTTCCTTCATGATTAGATTCCAGGTATACATTTTCGCAAAAATATGGTATGGATGCTTCTCATGACGTCCTGTGGTCTGGTGCGTGGTTTCCATATGCCTTTACTGCTAATGCTCACTTTCATCGTTTGAGTATGACTATGTCTGCCAGACTTCTTTGAATACAATATCTCTTTTCCCTGTGTGACTAGCACATATTTTATAGAGAGGTACTTTGAAAATATATAAATATCCCTTTCCTCATTAAACTTGATTAATTTTAGGTCTATGGACTAATGGATTCTAGTCTTTTTAAAGCGTTGTAATCTATTATTTCTTTTTACCCTCAAGTTGTTCCAGATTTGACCAGTGGGCACTCCTTTAAGCTGGCCCCTGTTTTCTGTTTCTTGTCCCCATCATTTTTTGAGCACTTCATTGTTTCAGGCACAATAAGATGTTCCAGAGTCTTCTCATATTCTCCCTGCTCCAGGTTTGAAATCAACCTGGAGAAATCAATCCAAGGAGAAATGTTTCTCTTAGAAACACTAGAATGGTGATTAGAAACCAAGATCTGGGTGTTCTGTGTGTGCTCATTGCTTCTAGAGTGTTGTTAGACCTTCTCAGTGGACTTAGTTTAATAGGTTTTAGCCATGCTCCCTCCTGCCATAGGCTTTTGCAGATGCCATTTTTATTTCTATCGCTTGGAGCTTTTGTTTCATCCCTCTTACTCTCTTGCTGTTACTTGATATTGTCATCCATCAGCAACAGCAAACCATTCCTCTCCTGAGAAACATCTATAAATTTTTGTTTACTATTACAAAAAAAAACAGTTTTATTGAATGTCTTTAGATACCTATTCTTCTTCGCTTCTGCAAGTATTTCTGCAGCGTAAATACAGCCAGTTAAAGAGCCAGAATGGTATTAGGACGTTAGTTTTGCTCTGTCTTCCTTTGGTGCAGGGAGTACATTATTCATTGTTGTGTCCCAGTGCCCGGAGAAGCACACAGTTAGTGCTCAATAAACGTTTGTTGGATTTGAGTGGGCCTCAGCCTCTTTTAATAAATAGGAAGCCTTAAGTAATGACATTACTCTAGATGGTGATGAGCTACCACCTTGTGATTTAAAACTGACATGGTTTATCCCTAAGCAGTTTTGCCTTTTTTCAACAGAAGGTGGTCTTCTGCTCCGTTAAAGAAGCACTGGAAGTGGACTGGAGCAGTGACAAAGCAAAGGCTGCCCTGAAGCGCACAACTTCCGATTACTTTCTCCTTCAAGGTAAGTTCTCAAGGCTTCCTGGCCAGCCTTGAGTGCCTTGGGTTTTGATTTCAGCAAATGTGGCTGGAGAGTCCAGATGGTTTCTTGATGTTCGCCTTGAGTCAAGCTCCTCATTGGTTAGTTCCCAGTGGCCACACATCTGAGTGAGTGGAGACGAGGCCCATCATTGAGCTCTGGTTTCTTGATGATTTTTTTGTTGTTGTTGTTAAAATGACTGCCCTTATCACTGGCTAGCACGTGTGAACCAATGGGCCTCTTTCCCATAGTCTCAAAATCCTTTAAACAGCACCGCCTGCAGTTGCTCTCTGACTTGGCATGTAAAATGAACCGACTTCTCAATTCTAATTAGGCTAACTCTCTTTTTAGGACAAGAATGAGGCCTAGAAGGCCTCATGATCATGCAACTATTAGTGGTGGCCTTAGGTCTAAAACCCAAGTCTCTTGAGTTCCCCCCCCCGGGTGTGGGTCCTTTACATTACACCCAGTGTTCTTTCTGGGTGTTTTGGATATCCAGCCTTTCCCCGGCCTTTCTCTTTGCAGCAGATGACAAATCCTAAACTTTCTTGAGAGTTGTCATGCGCACATTCCTGATGTGGGTTTTTTCCCCTCCCCCTCTTGGTTTTTCTGAGCTCTGCTATGTCTTTCATAGGTGCCACAGCTGGAACTATAAGGAGTGTTCCAGATGCAGTGAGCACAGGGCCTGGTGTGCTTTCTGGGAGTTTCTCTGTTGGTACCTACTTGTTTAACTCCCTCGACTGCTTGCTGGACTTAGGTACTGGAAGTAGAGAGGGACGTGCTCTTGTGGTCTCGTTCCCTGGTTAGCCAGCAGCTTAGAGCCTTCAGCTTGTAAGCATTAGGTTGACTCTCCGGGGGCGTATCGTCTTATTCTTATATTCAGAGAAATATTTCTTTCAGTTTTCTACTCATCCATTCATATAACTGAGATTCTCCTATAATTTGACCTTATTGGATTTATGCAGGAGAGCATAGCAGCTTCCACAGATGAAGTTGCATCCTGCCAAATACACTTGCCATCACCTATCTTTGTGCCTTGGGCAGATAAATCAGTTTGCCTCTCTAGGATTTTATATCCTCACCTATAGAAATGGGGGAACTAAGCCTGTCTCTGAAATCTCTTCTTATTCCAATTAGTGAAATCATGTGTCTTGTTTTCCTGTATTTTTATTTCTATGCTTATAACAACTTTATTGAGGAATGATTTATACCAGAAAGTTTACCCATTTTAAGTGTACAGACACGTTCTGCGACCAGTCTCATCTTGAAAGTCATATAAGTTGTTTTCAGTTTTTCCCAGTCCTTGGAATTTGTTCCCAATCCTCTTCTAGGAATTTGACTGATCCACCTGATGGTGCCTTATGAATTCCTAGTGAGAACGGTGTTTGGCTCTGGTGCACACTTGAGAATACCTTACAGAGAACCTGACTTTGTTTCACCACTGGAGGACATAATAGGCATGAGTGACTGGCTATTGGCTCCTTGGTCATTTCCTCTACTCTAGAGGGAGAGCAACCTGCCCACTGGTGTTCCCGCAGGATCCTCTCACCTGTCTGCTTCCCTGGGCACCCAGCAGGTATTTGATTCCAGTGCTGTCCTGGCCCTGGTCTGCCCCTCACACATGGAAGATTCTTACTGCCCCATTCACAATTCAGCCTCTGAGGAAGCAGCTGCCTCATCGTCCATGTGTGTGTGTTTGCCTTGTTTGGGTGCTGAGTGTTTTTCCAGTTTACTTAATAAGATAGTGGCCAGACTGAACGCTTCCTGCTGCATTTTTCCACTATCTTGAGCATTGGCCTCACCATCTGTGAGCAAAAGGTCTCATCTTTTTATTACTCTCCCATGGCATGTTGCAAAACATTAAGTATGAGCTGGTTTCCTGTGGCAAAAAGTTGACTTTGATTTGTTCTTTTTGAGGTTAGTGTGAGTTTATCATAACAGGAGTGCTAAAAATATCAGGTCTGGTATGGAAACAGCATTCACTAACCAGCATGAACAATAACAGGCAGGTTTAGTCCAGAGCAGGAAGAAATGGACTTCATCTCAAGATGAGAATTGCTTAGCACAGAATCCTTCTCAGTCTCGGTTCTGGTGACTCATGGAAAAGGATTTGGGCCATCTTTGAGCCACAGAGTTAAAGCTGCAAATAATCTTAGACCAAACATTTTTTGAGCACCTGCTGTGTGCCAGACCCCGTGCCTGGGAATCATCAGAGGAGGAAGAATAAGTCTTGTTGCCAGTGGAAAAGACAAACAGATAATTCTGCTCTTTGCAGGAGAGCTGTAACAGAGGGCATTGGAAAAGTTGTCATGTTGTGCTGTTCTGTTTTCAGTGTGTGAATTATTTAATAATAATCAAAAGCAAACTTACAGGAGCTCAGGGAACTCAGGGTCTGGCCATGTTTGGGGAGTTGGAAAGTCTTCACAGAGGAGGAGACATCTGAGCTGGATTTTAAAGGCTAAGTATTTGCTGGTGGTGAAGGGAGGTGAGATTTGCAGGCAGAGGAGCAGGACGTGCAGGTGGGCAGCAGTGCAGAGACCATGTGCCCGCAAGACGAGCTGAGTGGGAACTGGCCAGAGGAGATCATCAGGGCCCTGCATTTTTTTAGGCTTTTTATCTTACAGCCAGTGGTTCTCTGGGAACATTTAAAAAATACAGATTCCCTGATTCTAGCTCAGACTGACTGAGTCCGAATAACCAGGGGTGGCTGGTATCACTGCATTTCTCTAAAGCCCCAGGTTTTGAAGGGTCAGCCAGTTAGAGGGAGACCATTGCCACAGGAGAATGTGAACCTGCATCAAAGCCCTGATTTACTTTTTTTTTTTTCTTTTTTATTAATTTGAGAGAGAGAAGCATTGATTTGTCAATCCACTTATTTATGCACTCATTGGTTGATTCTTCTATGTGCCCCACCTGGGGATCAAACCTGCAACGTTGGTATGTTGGGATGACACTCTAACCAACTGTGCTACCTGGCCAGGGCTGATTTTACTATTTGTATTTATATTTTTAAGTCTATTAAGTACTGTGTTTCAAATGGGGACATTACTACACTGAGGCAGGAAAAAAAAGAAACTGACTCATGTAGCTTTGAATACAGTATTTTGACTATATACTCTCAGACTAAAGAAAAAACTATGAACATTGAACTCTGGTAAGTAGGTTAGTTTTTCACAGTGATACGGGATTAGCAATTCTGAAACTACTTATGTATTCTAGAACTGAGCAAATAAATAGGTAAATACAAGGTGGTGCAAAAGTAGGTTCACAGGCAGCTAATCAATGACCCTCTCACATCGATGTTTCTATCTCTCTATTCCTCTCCCTTCCTCTTTCTCTCCAAAATAAAATATATATATATATATTTTTTAAAGTTGGTTTATACTTATGGCTATACAGAACACAAGAGTTTATTCTTGTATTATTAGTTATTAATTACTGTAGTACTTTCCATCTGAACAACTGTGAACCTCCTTTTGCCTGACCCTGTATGTTGTGGATAGTGCGAATCAGGGTTTTTTGTTTTTAGTGCCAGAAGGGAGTTTTTGTAAAGGTGGGCGGTGGAAAAGGATGAAAGGCTCCCCATGCCATTGGGTTGGAATTTGAGTCATCAGGCGAACCCAGACTAACCTATTGAAAAACTAAAACCCTTCCACAATTCTCTTCTTGCCTTCAGGATACAATTTAGACTTCCTGGACTGACATCCCAGATCTTGAGGCAGCTCACCTCTTTTTCTCCCCCCGTTCTCTTCTGCCCTGCTTGAACCCTACACTCATGTCAAAATCCTTTTTGTCCCCCCAGACATCTGTCACCCTGTGCTGTCACCCTCTCATTCCTATATACATTTCTATTCCTTCTGCTTGGAATACCTGCTTTGGCCCTTCCCTCATATCTTCACTGTTCAGCTCTAATGTTACCTCCATAACCTAACTCACTTATCTCAGTTGGGTTTCCTTCCTCTGTAATCCCATCCTGCCATCTAGACAACCACAGCTCCCTCATCTCTTGACTGTCCAGCACAGGCCTGACACAGAGCAGGGGCTTGGTAGATGTGGGTTGATTGATTGCTGTGATCACCTGTCCCAAGTTGGAAGAATCTTGCCAGTTCTTAACTTGTGACTTTACTAATTTATTTGAGGCCCATGTAAAGCCATCTAGATGGTGCTAATTTGCATAGTTGGCCTTTGGCATTTCCCACTGTGTCGCACACAAGACAGGAAGTACCTCTAAACCCCAGACTTGGCTACAGGACTATGCCTAAACCATCCAGACGATTGCGGAGCACTTCCACTCTCCTTTAACTTCCTGTGTCCAGAAATTCAGGGCCTGTTGCTAACCAGCAGCTCCTATCTCTATTAGGAGTTGGCATCATCCGGCCTAGAGCCCTCCATGGGGGAGTCAGTCTCTTTTCTAAGGTGACAGATTGTTCTTATTGGTTCATAAATCTAGCCAAATGAGTTTAGAGTTCATGTCTTCTTCGTCCTGCCAATAGAGCCTTCTCAGTCACCAAAGCCTTAGGGTCTCCAGATTTGGATTTGGAAGAGAGAAGTTTAGGTCCCAGTTCTGCCATATACTTCCAAGCCTTGAGCAAGTCCCTTCACTTCGTCGCTTCTGTTTTCTCATAGAAACGGAGATACTGACAGTCCTCTACCCCCATGGTCATGTATAGGAGAGCCTTAGAAATAGCTCTGTTTTCTCCTTTTCTTTTTTTTTTAATTTTATTTTTGTTTAAAATATTTTCTTTTCTAAGTTGTAAAGATAAGACATCTTAATAAAATATTCAGATACCTCAGAGGAAACTGCCATTTCTTGTATATTCTTCCAGAACTTTCTAGTATTTTATACCTCATCACCACATGGGTTCTTTTGCAAGGTTTCCTAATGACAAACACTTTGTAATTTTTTAATTGTTATAGATAGACTTTAGGAAACTTTTTCTTCAATTCCTCATTCCTCAATTCTCCCTGTCCCCACTGCACTCCCA